GAGCTGGGCCCCAGCTCCTGCCCTGGTGTCCCCTCTCCACGTGCTCTCCTGCTCGTGCTTCCCAATGTCACCCCAGCTGGAATGCTGTCCCACTCTGGGCTAACTGGAATTTGTACCCAGGGGCTGTGGAAACCAGAACTTTGCCTGGAGAACAGAGTGCAACCAGTGCAAGGCGCCCAAACCGGAGGGGTTCCTCCCGCCCCCCTTCCCTCCTCCAGGTACGTTTGGGGGGTGTCACGGCCCCAATTCCCGATGGGACACCCCAGGCCTGGCCTCGGGCTCTGTGGGTGGGGAGTGGCTGGGCCAGCTCCAGGAGCTGCCAGGCCTTCATCCCTCTGTGAGCCATGACCTGGAGACTGGGATCACCATTTCTCCTGTGATTCCTGCAGCTGGGGGGCTGTCAGCCCCTAACCCTAACCCTAACCCGACTCCCCAGGGCGCTGCTCCAACCTTAATGAACCTGAATCCCCTCGGGTACCCAGCAGCTCCCAGCCCTGCTCCTGCCGGAGCTGGATGTGCTGGGACCCCGGGGTGGGGAATGTGGGAGCGGGATGTGCTCCCTTGGGGTCACTCTGAGGGTCTCTCCTCCTCCCCCAGGCGGTGACCGCGGCCGAGGCGGCCCCGGGGGGATGCGGGGCGGGCGCGGCGGGGGCCTCATGGACCGAGGAGGGCCCGGCGGGATGTTCCGAGGCGGCCGCGGCGGAGACCGAGGGGGATTCCGAGGTGGCCGGGGCATGGACCGAGGCGGCTACGGAGGAGGCGGCCGGAGAGGAGGAGGAGGCGGCGGCCCCGGGGGACCCCCGGGACCTCTCATGGAGCAGATGGGAGGAGGAGGCAGAGGACGGCGCGGAGGGCCGGGAAAGATGGACAAGTATGGATGGGGAGAGCGGGACAGAGAGTGATGGGAGGGGGCAATGGGACATTGGGGAGGGGGAGACCCTGCTGGGGAAAGGGGGTGGGGGGCGATTGGGGTGGGATAAACGGGTGGAGGGGCGAGGGGGTGAATGGTGGGGATGGGATGGGGTGGGTAAATGGGTGGCAGGGTGTCTGGGTGAGGGGTTAAGGAGCCTCCCCAGTGCGGGGAGAGCTCCTGGACCCCACGACTGACCCCTGTCCCCCCCGGCCCACAGGGGCGAACACCGCCAGGATCGCCGAGACCGGCCCTACTAACGCCGCCCCCCCAGAGCCGCATTTACTACCAGATTTATTTTTTAAACCAGAAAAAAAAAATGTTTTAAATTTATAATTCCATATTTATAATGTTGGCCACAACATTATGAGTCCTCCTTGTCTGTACTTTAGTATTTTTCACCGTTTGTGGAGAAACATTAAAACCAAGTTCAACGGTAGCGTGAATTCTTTCTCCTCACCCC